CTCGCATTCCTTTTCTGTCTCTAGACAAGTACTCATGAACATTCTAGCCATCTCGTGGTGATTTCAAAATGACAGCATTACTGTCCAGTGCTTTATTTTAAGATCCACATATGCGAGTATCATTTTGCTTCCGTATGCTCTGTTGTTTTTCGCTACTCGCTCACTGAAGTTCGTCTATGTCCGCTTATCACCGCGCATAACTGCATGTAACATTTTGCAGCTAATGTCACTCCAATGCGAGATAACTCATTTTTTAGCTGTCATCATAGCCAGTCCATTGACACTATGCAGTTATACTTTCATCTTGAAAAAGTGATAATTATTCTGATGCAGAGGCTTCCACTCCGACCGAAATGCAGTGTACCTCCACTTTAAAGGATCACAACGGAAGAAGAAATGTCACAGGGATCTCATTGTCTTTGTTCGCAATGCAATCACTGAGGCGCACTAAAACCCTTCCAGAAGGGATTTGGTAGGAACAGTACATCATGGTTTTCACATGTTTAAGATTTACCTCTCCTACCGTTCGTATGGCACCCTGTTATAATCGAATACACATTCGCACACAAAATGCTACGCCTCCTAACGCCTTAAGGGATGACACAGGTACTGTTATACAAAATTAGACCCTAATTCGCCATAGAGTTTGCGGCGAAAATGTGGAGGCTCTTAAAATACAAACTATGCCCCTTGCCTTCCAATCCCCAAACATGACATGGTACAAAGCATGGACGATTAAAATGAGGCTTCTGTCATTGATTTACTAAAGCTGACGAGTTGGAGGACTAAATTTCTTATGGATTGGAGTTAGGAAAACTGACGTCTTACCTCATTTTGATGGGTAGGAACATGCCAATGTTTAAGGGCATCAAGGAAGTAGTACTCTTTAACCCAATAGAGGTTGAGGTGACAAAAATTTGTGTGAATGTGGTCTCCCTAGTTTTCACGCATGAAAATAACATTTGCCTATATTGTCACAGAATGAAGCAGTTTTAACAATCCTAACAACACAATTACTACCAGCGTCACGCATATGCGACGTTCCAATGTGCCTACTTGAGGTAAACCAAAGTGCAAGACAAACAGATTGCTCGAATCCAAAACAGAAAAACGCACAAAAATTGGGTGTTAAAAATTACAACACATGGTAAGCAAAACAAAAATATGGAAATAATTTGATTATCGATTAATTATGTCGGTTTTAAGCCGGCGCTAATCGGATAGTCTTATATGCTGACCGTTCGAATTAAAATACAGCCAACAGAGTACAAAGAATCGCAAACGTCTCGAAACTTTTCCATTTTGTTATAGTAGTAATGCAGCATAATTTTCCAGTTCAGATCAAATGGTGATGCGAACTGCACTTTCATACAACACCCTGATTTGCTCAACAGTGTGAGTGAGTGGGCCTGCTTTCTGTCTCAGTAATATTATGGATGGTATGCAGTGTTCAAGACATTGCATGTTCTACGTACACTTCTTCCTTGGAGTTATGTAGAGGGAAAGTAGATAGCAAATCTCACCGTTAAGCAGATTTGTGGAGAGAAAAAGGCTTGTTGAAGTGGGATATAAAGGCATTAGAGGAGAGTTTACGATGGGTGAGGCATGACGGGTGACGCTTGCTGAGGCGAAGGAAGATGCAAGGTCGCATTGAGTGAGAGCACTCGCAGCATGTATGAAATTTTGGCTGGCTTTTGGTCACTGATATCGCTAATGGCGCATTTAACGTGTACATGGAAAGCCTGCAGCACCAATTGCCAGTGATTGTATGCATGGAAAATGATCTTTGTGGGAGGAAGCAAATGTGTAGCATTTTCCTCATGGTGTCCCCTCATCTTGAGGTGCTAAATTTGACACCTGGTCATTGATGACAATAGCGATGAAATTGTGCACTGGATGGCATATTCGCTAAGTTAAAACAGTTGTTAAGGCATGCCTTTAGCTATCGTTAGTCCCTTGATGGCAGGCGAAGATAACGCAGCTTTGGTGATACACGGCAGATCTGGTGTGTGCAAAGGCGGCTGTGCTTGTGACGATGCATCTCGCGCTGTCTTTCCTCTCATCGTTAGAAGAGCCTGATGAGATCCAGCATTACACCTTCTACAGTGCACTGTTTGAGGCACTTGACCAGCAACCCGTTCTTCACATTGAGGCTCTACTGAAAGACAAGGCTAATAGCAAGAAGACAACTAAATGATTTTCGAGATCATCAACAGTCTGGCGATGTGTGCAGATATCTACGTCTCTACTCGTTCCTCTGGATTCCTCCGATACTTTGTTCATAATGTGACACACACCACATCCATCTACGTCATTTATGTACCTCCTCATGCTCTTTTACGTCTTGACTCGGCGTGCAGAGATTTAAAAAAACACCATATCAAGACCCTGACTGAGTGCGGTTGCAACTCTACCGCTACAGCAGAACGTGAAACAGCGCACAATGTATGACAGAAAATTTGCCGCTTGTCTGTGGATTTTTGTAGCA